TGCACAGCTATTCACCTTAATTCTATGTGATCCATAGTCGCCCCGAGACAAGAGACTTTTATATATACATTTATTTATTTATATGTATATGAGACACGCAAGTGCAAAGAATTCTGAGTTAGTGTTTAAATTATGCTTGGCAAACTATTTTAGACAAGGGTTTTAATATTTTGTCAATCCTATCCAGGTAATGGAACAATTGATTTCAACGAATTTGTAGCCATGATGTCACGCCATAACTCCGAGACGGACCGAGACAAAGAACTGCGGGAGGCTTTCAAGTAAGTCCAAACTTTGACGTCGACATTTGGTATACAATTTGTTACCAATGAATCCCAGCAAAGATTTTTAAGTCAGTCTATGACTTTGTTAGCAGTAATAACGTTTACAATGAGAGAAAAACGTTAAAAGCCATGTCATTATGAAAGTAAACACCCACATCTACAATGTCACATTAGTTAGAGGCTGTCTTTTATAATGTGAATGAGGCGTTTAGACTAGCACATGGATAGAGACTTAACTCTTTCTCTCCGTAATTATTTACCACATTCTGGTGGAATCAAGGCTGGTATCGTCAGTTAGGAGAGAAAGAGTTAATAGCTAGAGGCTAAGATAATTTTTATATGTAAGTAAAATCGCGTGTGATAAGGAATGAAGCGTGGGACATATGATTAATTTCTTTGAAAGCCATAGTACTTGGATTTGAATGGTGTTTGAGGTTAGGATATTGTTCTAAGTTTAAACATGTCTCTCGAGAAATTCGTTTTTAAAACCATTCAGAAAGATAAATATATCAATACACAAAATAAATCATTTTTTTTAAATGTCTACTTTCATTTTAGCGCAAACCGGCTGGAACCAAATAGGTTTTGGGACTCTTTCCGTTTTAATGCTAATTTTGATGGTCATTAAGTTAATCACTTTAGTAAAACGTTCGACCTGACGAGATCCACCTTCCTTTATTTTGAAATATCTATTAGAAATACTTTGAGATCATAGAGAAAAAGCAAATAAAGCAAAACAGATTTGTCAATTCATCTAGAACTGATCTATTATTTGATAAGAATTTTAAAAAACCTCAATAAAAGAATCGCTCTCGGCTGAAATAAATTCCTCTTCCAATATTTTCCCACAATAGCGCTAACCCGACTTTGTCTGCTGACAATAGGAAGGGTGACGGGGGTGGGGGAATTACGTGCTACATCTGGATGTAACATCTGCGAAATTACAAACTCGGCCAAGTTGTACGAACTAGATCTAAGGCGTTTGAAGAACCAATCGCTGCCTTGAGAATTGTCCTTCACCTCAACTATGACTTGCTTTTTCTTCTGTATATGCTCATGTAAACCAAGGCCCATGGATATATATCGTTACGCACAACATAGACTTCTTGTTCAACCTTTACCTTAAAAGCTAAATAAATATAACACATTTTTACCTTATCTTCAGATATAGTTTTTTTTTTTTCTAATTGGTCTTAACTTTGCGTGAGGGTGGCTAAATATTAAAAGGAATATCATAGATACTTTGTAATAAGAAAAAATACAATAACGTTAGCTCCCTTTAATTCCATGCGTCCAACAGACTCTTAAACAGCTTTCATTCTAGAATTATACTTTTCATGCAGCTTGTATAAGATAATGAAAGTTGTCAAAATCATTCACCATTTGGCGACTTTAAAGAAAAAGGGTTATAAGACGCATAAAGTCTTAAAATGTGTACCTAACTATAGCTTTATTGCCTTAGTGCTGTCTTGTATTACATAACACTCTGTTCCCTACTTCAGGGTATTCGACCGTGACGGGAACGGGCTCATTTCTGCAGAGGAACTTCGTCACGTGATGAGCACCCTCGGAGAGACTCTGAGAGATGAGGATGTCCGCGAGATGATGAGGGAGGCTGATAAAGATGGAGACGGGCACATCAACTATGAAGGTGACTTTTAAGTTTACAAAAAGTTTATAAACATCTTCAGCATATGCTCCTATTGTATTCAATGACACCGTGAAGGTGTACGCTAACACTTTCGGGAAAATGCACGAGTTGGAATGACAGATTGAATTAAAAGCAATAAAATGAAACGGATTTTTTTAAACATTTGATCGAACACTTTTCCCTGTTACAAAGGTTACAATTTCTGTTAGTCGAACATAATCAGTTTTGGTTAATCTTAAACTTTATTAGTTCTTTGAAATAGGATTTTTTTTATTAGTTCATTGAAATAGGCTATCATAACTCCTTGAGATATTACTTACGTAATCGAATTATGAGAAAGGGAATATCGTTTGTATAACAAAAGTATATCAACTTAAACCCCAGCAATGCCACTGAAATACATAACAGGATTGACATCTATTATTTTGCATTTTTTTTTACATGTTCTAACAACGTAAAGGACGAGGCAATGATTATATTTCCAATACTGAATTTAAAAAGGTTTAGTAATTAAAACAAAGTTTAAGCGATACGCTGATAGCAGGCCAGCACTATTTGGTCAACGAGAATATACTAAGCAGCGGTTCTCAACCTTGCTAAACTTAAGGATCACCTAGAAAATTTGTAAGGCATTTAAGACAGCCACCACTGTTGGTCCGCGGGAAACAGATTGAGAGCTGTCAGATATTTGAATTACAAAAAATACTCGTCTATGTGTGGATTAAGTATACAACCGTGTTCTTGTTTCCATGATCTTGTGTAGATCTTATCTATTTCTTTGCCAAGCGATTCTTTAAATCTCATTCGTACAATATTTTTTTTTATTTACCTATTAATACACCGCGATCACTATAAATCTATTTATAATGCTAGTCGTCAGTATAAAAGAATTGTAAAAGGTGCCTAAGCTACAGTAGCGTACTGCCGGTCATATCCATTTGATTGTCATATGAGCTGAGCCGAAGGCTCTTCGAGCTCAAAGAACAGTAAAAAAAAAACAAACCTGTGGGAACACAGTTCTGTTTGAGAGCGACCCGAGTCAATGCCTATGTAAAGCATTGCTTTTTCCAATGCCTGTGGCCCCCGACTCATGGCCAAAGGCCGAGGACACCGGGAGCCTCCGTCATTTTCCTTTGTTATACCAAGCTAACCGTGGGGGACTCGCCATTTTTGTAACGGTCCTTTGAGGAACGGCGCATGGATGTGACAGTTTTGTGGGGACTTATTTACAACCCCGCCCGTGCAAGGGGTGGACTCTCATCTACCCGTGGGCATCCCCACTGGAGTTATGTTTCGCCATTCATTTAGCCTAGCTACCCCCTCAAGTAGCCGTTTCCACCCAGGTGCCACGATGAGGCAGAACAGCGTACCTGGGCCCGATCATACCTGTATGTGACGTGGTGTTACCCAGCATCTCGATACATTTACCTGCAGTGCCTAATGAAAACGCAAACCTCGGTTTCATCTGAATCAAACCATTTCTTTGTCGATGCGGCCCGATGCACTTGTCAAAGATTTATATGCCCCGAAGCAGGGCCGGATTTAGACTTGCCAAGGCCCTAGGATTTTATATTTTCCATTTGCTCTCTCCAAAATGATTAAAAATATCCCTGTAACCATTTTTGGGGTCTTCAAGCAAGTGAGGGGGTATCTATAGCCTATTTTGTGTATAGGTAAATTCAGCACTGTGAGCAAGTGGATCCCTTGAGTTATAGCTTATATGCCTTTAGATAAATACAGCCCTAGCCCCAAGACAAAGTTCAAACCCAACGAAGCAGCAAATATTGCCCACGTCAAGCTACTTTTTGAGTTGCGTGTCGATTTTGACATCGCGGACAAGATCCCTGACCTCTTCGTTGGCGCCTTCTTGATGACAATGTGGGCATGGAGAAGCGCACAGTGAAACAAAACAATCAATATATAATCCCACGTGATCTTCTACGATACCGAGCCCATTGCATGTGATAATGATCAGAGATTCACTCAACTGCAAGTCTACATCCACCAGTTTCTCACAAAGAACTCTAATTGCGATCCATACTATGGTTTTAAAGGACATCCCTTGCTATTTTAATTTTAAGGAATCTGGGGGAGGATTGTTTTAATCTAGAAAGTTTCTGTTGTCAAATGTGGGTAGTCATAAAGCTTAAGTCCAGCGCTGTTGCTGTAGACCCGTGCAATGGTAAAGACCAATGACTTCATTGACTTTGCATTACAAAAACCAAGTTTGACCAATCTCTGCTAATCCCATGCTAAAGACTTGGGTGTCTCAGTGTAACTTAATAAAATGTATTTTGTAAACACACATTTCACAGACTGGTCTAAACGTGTTTATGAACTAATTCCATTCCATTGTTTTTTTGTTTTAGAGTTCGTCGCAATGATGAATGCCAAGTAATGGAGCACTTAAAAGTCCTGCCAACTAACACAAGTTCTTAACTTTCCTATTTCGTCAAACTGCTGCCTGCCTACGTCATTCAAAAAATACTTGCCAACTTTACTCTTCATGAACTAACGTTAAAGCTTTAGTATCATTGTACATTGTCCCATGAATATTTATTTTGTTTGTATGCATGCTTTTAAATCTTTATAGAAATTACATTTTAACTGTTTTAGAATGCCTATATTTTAAATATATCTTAGAGTTTTGCTTAGTATAAGTATTTAGATGAACTGGAAACAAATTTAACTTGTTTACACAATTAGTCTCATTGTTATGCCGGAAATACAATACAAAACTTTCAATATTTACATATTTAAATTTATTAATTGAATCGCGATAGTATACGCCCATGTTAAATTTTTCATTTCATTTTAACATTTTAACTCATTTATTTTGATTTTAAAAGCATGGATCATTTTTACTGTTTTGGTCTCAGGGGAAGTAATTCGATTTTTAATATTTTTCTATTTACCTCAGGGCTTAGTTGATTCTAAATTTTTTTTTTTTTTTTGTAAATTGTGGAACTTTTCAAGATGTCGGACCCATTGTAGTACATTTTGTAAATGGACACCTAATTTAGTTTAGTCTTGTATCATTTCCATTGTTTTTAATTTGATATTAACAATTGTAAGAGCTTATTCTCGCATAATATACATATTTTGTAATAAAAATTGTTTATATCCCTTGTACATCCATAAGTCCTATAGTTTCTACCTATTCATTTATACATTTAAAACATTCCATTAGAACTATACAATTAAAAAATGTATGTAGATATATATTTCATTTTATGCTTTTTATCATATCAATGACATTTTTAACCTATTGGTTGAATGAAATAGTTGACGGCGAGTGCTTGTGTTAAAATGAAATGGATTTTAGACTGCATAATAAACTTGATTCTGACATTAAGTCTTCGGCTTTCAATTTATGTAGATCTATAAGCTGTGCTAATCAACAAATTTACACCCACTTTCTTGACGCCTAGCAAAATAATTCGTATGAGCATCTGTATACAGGTCGCATTGTCTTACAGTAACCAAATCAAAATTTCATTAAAATTCGTGGATTGGCTGAAATTTTCATAAATTTTTCTATTGATTGAATATACATGTATACATCACTAAAGAACTGCCTTTTCCAGTTGTCCTGGCAACGCTTGATATGACGTGTAAAGTAATTAGAATGCAAAATGAAAAAAAAAGGAACTTGAAAGGACCGTTTAAATGTACAAGTAGGTAAAAGATTGAAATCTTGCGTTTACCTACATTAATTTTAAAAGGAGCTTACCTCCTCTACAATCTTTACAACCCTCTAGAATACTAGGTCTACTAACTATGCACGATTTTGAGACTTCCTCCCAGATATGGGGCACATGGCCTAAATTGTTGGAAGTGGGAAGCGTGGTCGAGAGGCCAAGTGCGCTTGAACTTGGCTTGGCTAGAAGGGGGCTCGACACCCGACTCAGGCAGAGTTGTGTTTACTGAGCGCCTAAATTCGCCAACTCCTAGATACCCCCTCCCCATGGTCCACAAATGAGATTGGACCAAAAGCGCTCTGAGCATGCTATAAGCATGAAAGCAACGCTATATAAAAGCAATAATAATAATAATTGTGCCGATGTGCCAAGAAATACAAAATACTCTCCCAGATCTCTGAATGCTTGGATAATAAATTGAATTCAAATATCAGACCAGAGAGTAATTTGAGATTACGCTGTCATCATGGGTAGCATCATTGATGGAGACTGTTACGATGTTACTGTGCTAGATGTTACAATCAAACTTGATGTCAAAATGTCACGTGAAGATGTGAAGCACAATCAATGATCGTAATTGCCGAGGATCTTGAAGTCGTCTTTAATAAGATGATCGTATAGAAGTAGCTAGATCTAGTTGATAATACGATCATTCAGAATGTTGCCAGTTGATAAGAGGATCATCTAGAAGTTGCCAATCGCTAAGTCGATCTAAGTATGTTACTATATTCAATGAAGAAACTTCTCTTCGTCTAAAACAAATACTTTAATTCAAAACTTGGAAAAGCTATTCACAAATAATTACAATGGTTAAATGTACTTGAATAGAACAGACTAAATATATTTCTGCTAAATAAATGATCTACACAATAATGTAAAATATACGTCTGAATCCTAACACGTTCCGTACGACACTAACTAAAATCTAGAATCTTTCCTCGGGTATAGCGTTGTCACGTGTCTAACATCCCCTCCTTGCAATGCCAATAAATGCAGCTCAATGAACAATAATTAATATTTCAAAACCAATCACATTTATTCTGACACATGGCCCTGCCGCGTGATGGAATTCCCCGAGCTAACTAGTTCTGGCTGGTAACCTTGGGCGGCTGTGTACGTGACAGAGACAATTATATTTCATACTTATATTCTAATACATTTAGAATGTGAAAAGTTTTAGTTCTATCAGTGCAAACTATCTATAAGTGTACTTAGTAGTATTGCCGGAGTGTAGCGCATTGTAGAAATAGTTACAAATATAATACATTTAGTAATCACGAAAAAAAAGGCGGATATTATTTTTTTTAACATTAGTAAAATACCCAAGTAAGTACTTATATTTTCAAGACCTTTGTAATACGACATACGTAATACAGTGAAATAGAAATGTCTTTTGTACCAAATAAGTTCTCGAACTTCTCCACACACCTTTTTGTCCTAGTCTATGTTCACGTTCAATTTCAATTTTTAAGAGGAAATAACTAGATAAAACTAGTTAAATGTTTTGTAGGCTGGATTGCTAGAAAGATAAACCATACAGTCTTGAGAAGAACGGTCATTCAATAAAGGTCAAGAGACAGAGAGAAAAACCAAACCAAAACAAAATTAATGAAACGCTGACCAATGAAAGTCATTGAATTCAAATAATGCTAGCCTTGTTAAATAAATAACATAGTTTCAGGGAAATGCCATGATATCTTATCTTCTACCCGTATTCCAAACTATACACTTTCATGGGATCATCCCTGTTAACAATAAAGACTCTGATCCCATTCCGCTAACTAATATGGTTTGTGAACATTAGAGATTCACTCACATGCCCACAACTAATATGGTTTCAGGGATATGCCCTGTTAACATTAGAGATTCACTCCCATGCCCACAATCAATATGGTTTCAGGGATATGCCCTGTTTACATTAGAGATTCACTCCCATGCCCACAATCAATATGGTTCTAGGGATATGTCCAGTTAACATTAGCTGCCTCTTCCATATTTCATGCCCATTTCATGCCCTCAACCAAAGTAAAAAGTACGTGGGCACTATATAAGTCTGACTGCTATCCTCTTAAATTCTATTTGGTTACTTGAAACTAATTGACGATATTAACCAAGTACCTACTGAACTGTTACTGATTTAATGCATAACACATTGGGACATTGTGTTTGTGTTTTTTTTTTTCTTTTTTGTTTACGAAAATATTTTTTTCTTAAGGATTTGAATAAGAGATTGACCCTTTACAAAACAATGAGATCAATTAGATCTCCATTATAAGACATCAGTTAGGCCAGGTTCACATCTAACTTCACATTCACTTTCCCCTATCCCTTGGTCTGATATTCTTTCTGAAAATATTGAAACCTGCTTTTTTACCTGCCTGGCTTGACTACTTCGAGGGCCGATTTTGAGTTTGTGTTTTCACACAAACAGTCTTTGAAACCTTTTTTTAAATTGATTCATGTCTTGTTTATGCCGATGAATAATTGTGCGATATTTCAACTTGATCCGAGAATGGGTGTGGGAGAAATAACGTGTACACATTTTTTACCAGACAGACAGTGAGTTGATATAAGCAGGCCCATCTTCGTATAAGATGGCGTCGTACCTTCTTGGATCTCTGGGCAGTAGATACCAGTCGGACGATTCCTGCTCCCGTCACCTCAGCGTGGCACCTCCGTCGAAACGTTTTAAACGCTTAAGGAAACTTATAAATATTTATACAAAGCTTACATCAACTCACTCTGTCTGTCTGACCAAAAGTTTGTACACGTTATTTTTCCGACACTAAGTTTCGGTTCAAGCTGAATTTTTTTACAATTATTTCTGTTAGCTAAAAACACAAAGAATCAATAAAAACTAACCCAATTAGCTAATTAAAATTGGTAATTATATATTTAGTTTGGTATCTCGAACAAGATGTGAGCTGGCGCTCCTAGATCTAATTTTTGACCTAATTTTATTTCATTTATATTATTTACATAGGCCAGGGCTATGATGTTTGTAATTTAGTATCGTTTTTAATTTTTATAAATCAGTGCTGTGTATTTTGTAGTTTCCGCTATTTAATACTTTCTGCTAGTTTTAGTCTTTTTCTGTTATTTGTGTTTTACTCGTAGAGGAAAAGTAGTTTTAAAATAGTTAACTAGCCTTAGAGCTGTGGATGTTATTTTCTATTTTTTGTCCCTGGTTAGTTCTGCTTATTTTTGTCTTTGGCATTAGCGTTGGATTGGTAGTTATTTTTTTATATCAGTTTATGTGCAGGTCTGTAAACGGTATAGAGCCCCCATATGAGTTTAGAATAGAAATAACTTTTTATCTTCCTTTTTGTATTTTTGTAGAATTTAAATTTTAAGATTCTCTTTTTAATGCTGTTTAATTTGGTATATAATGTTGTGTAGTCCGTGTCTTTAGTAATTTGCTAGATTTTATTGTTGTGTACGGCTAGGTACAAATTAGGGAAATCAGTAGTCCAGTTTAGTTATAGATAATTAGCGTGACGTCATGCTCTCCGATATGTTCGCGCTGACCAGTTATAGCTAGCTCCGGAACCACGTTGAGCTCTCTTTTGTCTTGACCAGTGGTCAGTGGTGCCTGTATAAAGTTATTTTTTGTGCAGTGTAATTTCAGCTGGGACCGCCTGTAAGTTGGAAAATGTTTTTATTTTTGCTTTCTTTCGTTTGTATTTGTATTGATTATTTCTGCATCTATTGCTATAGTCTAGATGCAGACTGATTAGTGTAGTGGCATCACTGGCTAGTTAATTAGCCATGATTATCTCTGATGGAACCGGAAGTTCTGTAGACTTGGGTAGCGTCACCCAATTGCGCCAGCCTTAATGCTTTTTGCTTTTCTATACTATGTCTATGTGTAAATATTTTATTATTTTATGTTTGCTATGTATTTTTATGAATATTTTATCGTTAGGATAACCACTCTATTTAAGTTGGCATTTTGTCCTACTTTTTAATGTAAAAGATGGCTGCGGCCTAAGCATCGCTGTCATGGCGGCTTGTTTAGTCTTATCTACTATTATCTAGATCTAGCTTATGTTTATTGTAGTCTAGCCTGACGTGTGTCGGTTGTGGCTGGGACTTTAATAACTCAGGTATTGCTTTTATTAGCTACATGTAGGTAATTGAAATTACCTCATGTTTGTATTATGTGTATGCACTAACTAGGTCTAGACCAGTCCAGTCTAATATATGTGTTATAGTCCATTATTATTATTTTTGTTTGAATATTGTCTTATGTTTGTTTATATTTGTAATTGCAGGCTATAATTCCTGTCTTACGGCCTACTGCCTTACGGCCTAACAGTCTGCGGTAGTTCTGCTTTACTGCTGCTAGTAGTTTACTGTTTAGTGTTGGGGTAATTTAGGTTATTTGGTGGTCGGTTTAGTTAGTAATAGTTGTAGATTTAGCAACATAGATACAGAGGCGGCAGAGGGTTTTGGTTAGTGGAGTTGTTAAGTTCAGTTCAGTAGGGTTGACTAATTATTTAGTAGTGCGTATATATAGTTTTTGTTTATTTCTAAGTTTATTTTCATTTTCGTTTTCACCTATATTTTTATTGCTTTGTAACTTGGTTGTAAATAAAGTGTAAATAGGACGGGGGGGGGGGGGGGGGTTTCGGAGTTTATTGACTAATC